TAATTTTCTAATGCAAATTATTGAATATATAGCAAAAACTGTTTCTCACGGTATGCGACTATTTGGTAATATGTTTGCTGGCGAATTGGTGTTTATGCTCATAGCCTTGATGGGCGGAGCATTTGCTTTTTCAGGCACAGGTTTTGGCTTGGCTTTTGGCCATGTGGCTGCAGGTCTAATCTGGAGTATTTTCCATATTTTGGTAATTAGTTTGCAAGCATTCATCTTTATGATGTTGACCATTATTTACGTGGGACAGGCGCATGACGCGCATTAAGTTGTAAAGTTTATTTTCATTTTATTATTGTTTTTTTAAGGAGTTATTATGAATACAGCGGGTTTGGTTGCTTTAGCTTGTGGCATTATCGTGGGCTTGGGCGCTCTTGGAGCGTCTTTGGGCATTGCTATCATGGGCGGAAAATTTTTGGAGTCTTCTGCGCGTCAACCTGAGTTAATGAACGAGCTACAAACCAAAATGTTGCTTTTGGCGGGTTTGATAGATGCGGCTTTCTTGATCGGTGTGGCCATTGCGTTGCTGTTTGCTTTTGTTAACCCTTTTGCTGGTTAATTGGTGACCTTTCATTAGCGAAAGGGCTAAAACGTGAATATCAATGCAACCCTGATTCTGCAGTTGATTGTTTTTGTGGGTTTGGTGTGGTTTACCATGAAATTTGTCTGGCCACCCATCGCAAAGGCGCTCGACGAGCGGGCACTGAAAATCAAGCATGGGCTGGAGGCTGCTGACAAAGCCAAGCGTGACGCAGCGACTACCGAGGCTGCGCTGAAAGCTGAGATGCAAGAAGTCAACGCCCAAAGCGCCCAGCGCTTGGCTGACGCCGAGCGCCGCGCCCAGCAAATCATAGAAGAGGCCAAAATCAAAGCCACCGAAGAGGGCAACCGCATCATTGCGGCCTCTCGCGCAGAGGCTGAAAATCAGGCTGTGCAAGTGCGCGAAGCCTTGCGCGAAGAAGTGGCAGTATTGGCAGTACGCGGCGCAGAGCGCATTTTGCAAAAAGAAGTCAATGCTGGCGTACATGCAGATTTGCTCTCGCGTTTGAAAACCGAACTATAAGGATGCTTAGACATGG